CCGCACAGGGCAACCCGGGGCCACCAGGGCCCTGGTGAAATAGTGCCGCGATCCAAGGGATATTTTTTTTATTATTACTTTATTTACTTTGGTATTGGCTGGGGTTTTCTTTTTACTTTTCCTCTTCTTAGTGTTCTGTTTTGAAAGAGCCTGTCATGACAACTCCAGAGCCCCGTACCACCACAGGCAGGGGAAGGGGAGGGAGCGAAGGGGGACTCTGGTCCATCTTTGCTGCATAGTCCCACGTCCCACCATCGGCCTCGCCTGGCCACGCACATACTGTTGCCTACAACTCTAGCTGCTGCATTGATTTTGTATTTCCATTGCTGGGTTTGTTTTCTTGCACTTACGGAGCACGCAGGGGCCGTTAGGCGTATGGTGCGTGAGGAGTGCAGTGTCTTATCCACACATGTCCGTATAGTGTACGGTTCAAATACTTTTTTTGGTAGAGACTTATTTTTGTTTGGATTAAATGTTATAAAAGAACCACGACTTAAAGGGACATTTTGCCATGAGCATTTGATTCCGGTGTATCCTCCTTCAGTAAAGCAACTATCAATTGCTGCTCGATCACCACGTTTTCCTTTTTGTGTGCACACTTAATTACAGGTAAAGACTTATTTTTTGATTCCTAATGTCCTCTTGTGTTTTCTGAGTCACTACCAAGGTGCACCACACAGCGAGGGAGAGGGGAGGGGGAGAGAGGTTGCCTCATCACTGAGAGCTGTTAATTATTTCTCATAATTACTTTGCTGAACCTAGGTTAGAATACTAACTGTAGACAATGCACAAAGCCTGAGTGATCTATTAAGCACTGGTCTTGCATTGAAAGGCCATTTCCAAATGAGTCTGTGGCAAGAGAAGGCTGGGTAATCCAGGGATGCTTCTGCAGGGGGACCTCAGCTGTCCAGCCCCATTTCAGCACCCCATAACGCTGGTGCCATGACGCACCTTTGCAGAAAGAGCTGATTATTTAGAGTATATTTAAGCAGCCATAGCCTAGGACTTCAGTATAGAGCTCATAGGGACAAAATCAACTAATTCAAGGCTCATAAACATGCCCCTATCAGAGGAAGCATTTGCAGTCAAGCATATAAATGAAGGAAGAAGAAACCAGAGACTAGAAATGATGTAACTCAGTCAGAACATGGGGAATGTCATCAACACAAGAGCTTTAATTTTGCCATATCCAAAGATTTACTAAGCTAGGAGCTGACTGAGTGGAGGATTAGAAGACAGAAGGCATCTCCCATCTCCAGCACATTCAGTTCTGGGCCAATTCTCTTGACAAGGCAGCAGCCCTCAAGTCACCACCCCAGCTCTACCCAGCCCTCTTGCCCCCTGAGCCAGCCCCGGAGCCCCACACAATCCAACCTTGAGCCTCCACAGGCATTTCCAGGTCTGGTATCCTTGCCAGAGGACTCCAAGAACGTCTCTATCAACATCTGTTCTGTTTCAGTGCTCGGTCTCCATGGTCCTGTCCCTGCAGCTCATCCTGCTCAGCTGGGGCCTGTGCTGGGAGCAGCCCAAGTTTCAAAAGTGCAAGAGCCTGAAGCATCTTCCAGCCTGACATTGCAGATAATGTGTATGCAGCCAGCGCCCCTGAAATGCAGCCACCTCCACGGAGAGCGGGGCAGTGACCTTCTACTTTGAAAAAAGAGGAGAAAACAGGAGTGAAGGTGCAGGACAGATAGAGTCACATCAAAGAGCAACACAAAGAAATCCGGGGTGTATTTCGAGCAGCATTTAACATCACAGAGGCAGGTCACAGGACTTAGTTAATCCATCATAAAATAAACGAGGGTTAAACTCACCCTGCTGAGATTTGATCTTTGAGGGAGTGGGCTGGCACAAGCATTGCCTCTGCTTCTTGAATGCAGTCGGTTGCTGTCTGTTGTTATTGACACTTGCTCCTTCTTTGTACTTTCCAACTGCAATAGATTTTAAATCCTCATACACTACTGTTCTCACAAGTAATAGCATAGAACAGCCTGTAACAAGATCAAGATCTCTAATAGGACTTCTGGAAGGTGAAGCAACATTCTCCTTTCCCTGCACTAGTGTTTTTCTCCAGAATATTAGATTAAACAACAGAAAATTTACTACTTCATAAAGCCATATCTCAGACAAACTCTGCACCCAGCAGAACCCCTGCCAGCACACACTTTTATTCCGGTATGAGCAGGAGCGTGCGAAGCAGTAGCACTGAATTCCTGTAGAAAATAACCTCAGCAGGGCACAACAAAGCTCAGAACACCCCAGGCACGAAGACTGCTGAAGGTGATACACCACTGCACTAGACTTTTTTTGGTTTGGGGGGTTTTCTCTTGGTAGATTTGGTGTTGGCTGGTGGGTTGGTTTTGAGGGTTTGTTTGTCTGTTTTTAAGATAAAGCATCATTAGCTTCCTAAATCAGCCTCAGAGATGATACCACCTCCCTACAGACCCAGAACACCAGTAATGTTCAGTCCTGGACCTTCTTTAACCAAAGGCCAATGAATAATTCTGTAACTTCAACCAGGAGTAGAAAGCTGTGGAAAAGTAGAAAGCTCCTGCAGCTATGCCAAAGGACACCTCAATAACGTTGAAGACAACGGGTGGGGAACAAAGCCAACCCAAACCACGCCACAAGTCCACACTCCACGCTACATATACCGTTCTTAGGCTCTTACTGTTGTGCAGAAGTATAGCTCTCTGCAAAACAGTAGCTGCAAAAGACAAATGAGACATCCTTCACTTCAGAAGAAATCAAAATCAAATGGCCTTTGGGCTATGAGCAGGAGCAGAGCCAAGAGAGGGGGTTTCAGACTTCCCTCCCGTGGCTCTTCCTGCAGACCGGGCAGTGCAGCTCATCTTCAAGCTCAGCCACCAAGCTGGCCCTGCGCATTGGAGATCAGGATGGCACTTCACCTGTCCAGCAGTGCTGGAGAACTTGCAATCACATAACACGAACCACTGCGAGACAATAAAACCTCTCGCAGTAAACTTAAGCTCAGTATTTAAGAAAATAACCTAAAGCTTCTGCAAGCTTCGGCACTGAAGACCTATTAACTGCAGACATCTGTTAGCACATAGGCGTCTACACAAAGAGAATAGAGCGTTATTGAAATAATACAGAAAGAAACCATCACAACAAGTACTCGCACATCTAAAAGCTCATTTTAAGATAGAAACATTTGTACAAGTTAATGCTTCCAGATGGGAGAAGTTGTCCAATGAGCGTGATACTTTACTTGTGGAAAGGTTAACCAAAATGTACTTCGCTTTCTGAGAAAAGCCACTTGCGCGCTTTCAAGAGGTTTTCATGTGCATCCTGTTGCCGGCACGCAGCCGGCATTTGATTCATTGCAAAAAGTTTTTAAATTACTCTTCTGTCTGCAAAAAAGTGACCTCTTCAAACAGTACAAGTAGAGCTTCTGAATTTTCTTGTTTACCTCTGATTTTAACTATTTAGAGTACTGACAAATCTAAATAACCAAAAGCCTCAGGCAACAAAAATCTGCCCGATGTGACAGACCGCTGCGGCCAGGCAGAGTCCACGGCCCCAGCTGCAGAGAAGCCAACAGCAGTCCGGCTTTACACACATTTGCTCACTCCCCAGATAAAAAGTGAAGCCAACAGTCCCTGGGAGCTGGAGACAGGAGGAAAAAGGAAAAAAATTCCATTGGCACTTACCAGGTATGTTGTTTATTTCTTTTAAAGCTGAGGAAGCAGACATCTCATCTACAAGAGTGATTCGTAAGGAGCCTTGTGGAGGCTGGAGGAGCAAGAGAAGCAATGCTTTAGTGGTAATAAAATTAATGGTCTCACCACCCAATTCTGGTCTATAATTGGCTTCCATGAAAAGTCCCAAATGTAAATAAAACAAAGCATAAAGGAGAAGCTGAGCATTAGTGCTCAGAAATAAGAACAGAGCTGGGTTTTGAAGAGATTTGTATCACCATCTTCTCAGCCTTCGGGCAGGGAGTTGGAGAGTTCGGCCTCTATCCCGCAGAAACTGGCTAAAAGTCACCCGCTGATTTGAGATGCAGAGAAGAGCTTTGGACTCTCCTAAAGGCTCTTCTATCATTTTGATTCTCTGGGTGTCATAACAAGTTGCACTGCAGGGTAAAACACGTGAGGAAAGCCGAAACCCACCCATTTTTACCATGTAACGCTGTTCTCTCCTGGCCAGCAGCAACACTGGGCTCCAACAGCTCCATCCTGACCCTGCCCGGTGCCGTTTCAGCAATTTAAACGAAGAGAGGGGAAACTGATGAGCTTGCTCTGTTGTAGAGGGAATTCTTGCTTGACACAACAGTGAAATCAGTGACAAAATTGGACAGCCACACCAGCATAGCCTGTCAGGCTGTGAAATGGCATCTTCTCCGTTTTCACACCACCAAATGTAACATGCGCTCAAACCACCTTCATTTTCATTTCTGTCACTGTTTGCCTGGGAGATGGTGGCAAATTCGTCGAGGCCTTAGCAGACAGGTACATATGGCTAGAAGTTCTCGCGTGTCAGCGACGTTCGATGTACAAGGCTGCTTCGCTTACATTTATTTACACTAAAGAATAAGCCATTGGGCTCCTTTCCAACAATCTTAAAAAGACAAGAAAGGAGACCTTATATATGGCTTGGGAATGGACCCGTTGTGGCAAGAGACTGTATTATATCATTAACATTATAAATTCCATTTATGATACAGCAGTCATTTCATCCATCATTTACTCATGCAGCCTAGAGAGAACGTCTTGCATTTTTAGGACCGTGGTTCTGCTTATCCTTGGTACCGCGGTGAACGAACAGCCCAGGTCCAGCCATTGGCTACTCCGGGCGCTCAGCATCTCGCCACACTTCAGTAACTGGGGAGAAAAACAAAGAAAAAAGTCTCAACTCTGCAATTACTGGAGTTCCACGTTATTTTTCAGATGTCACCTAGGACTGGGAATGTATTTTTCAATACGTTTGGTCACTACGAGTTCTTTCTTGCTGTGGCAGCACAGACCACTCCATGCGTCCTCAGGGTCAGCACAGCAGGGGTGGGGGCTGCTCCCGTCTGACAGAGGCAAGCGCCTCGTCCGCCTGCACACACCCTGCACAACTCCATCTGTTAAACCCAGCTGCTAGTTAGTTACTGCACTCGGCTTATCCAGGAGACAGGACTGTAAAACTCACTGCCACACCAGTGCTACCAGCACTGCCAGGTGAGCCCAGATGGGACTGGGAGGCGAGGCTGATGCTTCCACCCCCCCAGCTCCCATGGCCGCCATTCACCGCCCCGGCACCACAGCTCTCGGCACGCCCGAGGCCCATCCACCACCACCACTGCACCAAGGAGCGAACGCCCTCCCGGCTGCGCTTCCCGGGACAGGGTGACGCTCCGGCAAAGGGCTGGCTTTCCTCCGGCGCGTCAGCAGACACCCGTAGCTACAATCAGTAAAGTCGTAAGCCAGCGCTCCATTGCGTAGTGCACCTACAATAAAACAAGCTAAGAAAACCCTATTAAACGAGTACCCGTTTGGATATCATCGCTATCCATACAGCTCTGGTTTGTTCTCCCATCACCATAATTTTGAGTAATGACACAGAAAACAATTACAGTAAACCCTGAAGGAAAAAGTAATAACCAGAATTATACTCCTCCTTTACTGGAAAGCCTTTTTTGCATACAAGGAATTAATAAAAAACACCAAACTTTGAACAAAATATAGCCCAACACTTACAAGATTTTCCCTCCTTACTGATAAGACCACTAGCACCACAGAGTGGACTGGTTTTGCACCAAGAATTAAGCTGCCAAGCTCGGAGGAAGCACAGAAGCCGCTGTATAAAAACCTGAATGCCGCTTCTCCCAAAGTTTTTTGGCACAACCCCCAGTTAAACTGTTTATACATAAAGTTGTGTGGAGTATGTTTTTTTTACTGATTTTTCTGACCGTATGTTTCTTTACTGATTTTTCTGACTGTAACACTCAGCAGAGGGGAACTATCACCGAACAACCTCCTGCCTGTCGCTGGTTCTGAGATCACATCTAATGACCGCAGCAAGCCTACACTCAGCTGGCCAACACTGACTGTCCATCGCTGCTCCCTATTTTATAAGACACAATGGAAACAGCAGAGAAGTTATGAAAATGGTACCTAATCCATCTGCTCCCCAATGCAAATTTTCTTTGAATCGGCGAGAAGCATATTTTGAATGGGAGCTTGCTTGTTTTTCCACGTTACAGGTATAAAAGAGAGGGGGCAAAAAGTTAATTAAAACTACAAACCTACTCTGAGGGATATGTGAAAAGGGAAGTGTTCTAAGTGCAACAACCGAAACATTTTTTTATTAAAGAATACACTATTAATAATACAGACTGATAGGGTAGCAATAAGCTACTGCTGAAAGACTGACAATTTAAGTCAGATAAATCTAGTGTTAAATAAGCAAAAAAGTTTGAGCCACTGACCGTGCCTCAAAGCTGATTTATGGAAAAATACAGGCATTATGGAGTACATGACCTATGTGCTGTGAACAAAATACAACAAAAATGAAACATCAAACCAGAATTCCTTCCAGGACGTGGTAAGTATAGCTCTCAGAAGAACACATTCTCAAATGCAAATTCAGGAAAAGAAAAGTTTCAGAAAAACACTCTTTTGACAAAATTGTATTTAATGACCAGAAAAGCATTTCCTCATTCACATTGTTGCCAGCTTGGCTTTATTTACATAAAAACAGTCTAAATGGCTTCCCCAAGCTACAGGATCCCACAGCCCTTCGCAGAATAGCAGCCTTTTTAATGTGGTAAGTAGAAACAGCAGGCAGGTCAGCACAGCCCTGCCAGGAAGAGCCAAGATGTCTGAAAGATGATGGTAATATTCCTATTAACAGAAAGGGAGGTAACACACAGGCCAGGGATTCTGTGACATGGGAGAGGCCAAAATGCCCAATTCGTGACAGTCAGATTCATTCAAGCAGCCTTCCTTCTCGCACAAGTTACAGACCATCAAGAGTCACAGCAGTTTCAGAAGTGCGTGTCCTGCTGACAAGAGACGGTCAGGGTTCACTGAAGCGATTAAGATAGCTTTAGTTATTCGTTACGTTGCAAAACAATGCACATATGCTGATTCCACTTCACAGGCATCTCCAAGATTCTCCCCTTTTATATTAAAACACTCTGTGCTACGCAGCCCATGAGCTGGACGGTCACAGACAGGAAGTAAAAGCCTCCCAACACACCTTCAATGCAGTTGGTACCAGTAAAGCACATTTGTTCTGGGCTTGGATGCATTCAGGGTGTGAGGTTTTACCAGCAGTTACAGTCTGAACCACTACCTGCTGTTTTGTACAGCAAGGCACCTGTATTTCACTGACTGGATCACAAGAACCTCTTTGGCAGGGGGTTAAAAGGACAAAACTAACACTAATCGTCGCAATGAATGTGTTGGGGCAGAATTAGAACTAAAGATTATGGCTAAATTCTGGCCAGAGGAGTCTGGCAGCTCCTCTGCTTAGGGAAAGGCACTGCTGCTGTATTGGTTGAGCATGAATCAGTTGACAAGGGACAGCAGGATAGTGCCTGCCTCATAGCAGGCTGTATTTTAACACAGATGCATGCAGATAGCAACGCAGTCCCACCATGACTGCGTTAACGCAGCGAGGTGTCGCATCCTCAGGCCGAAGCACGCTAGACTATCTCCACGCAAAACTCTGTGCACATGAAACGCTGCTCTTCACCTCCCTGAGACAGACACATACTCCAGAAAGTGATACTTTGCAGTGACCCCAAAGGCATTCTTCGTAGAAATAATTCAACTTTTATTGTGAAATGTTACGATAAGAGGTAGGGCTTCCTCAAAAATTGTTCATTCCCCCCGTGGATAGAATCCAGTAGTAACAGTCAGAATGAACTGCGTGCCCTTTTTATCTCTGTAGCTCTCCAAAAGCTCCATACAAAGACACTCAAGTGTCATTACCAATGAGTGTTAACGAGATCTTTGACTAAGATTCCACAGTGCTGTTGATTATTCACCACGTGGACTCACTGGGACCAAACAGACCTTGTAGGCTTTAATCTGCAGTTTGTGTCGCCACTGCAACAAGAAAAGGATTCCTACTGATGAAGCAGCAGCAAGAGCAAAACTCAAGGCACATTTGTATAAATGAAAGCTCTTCTGTTCCTATAAAAACAGGCAATAAAATATACAAAATAAGTAGGATTCTCTCCATTCAACCAAGATATATCTGCCTTCACTCTTT